AATAAATGTCGTAGCTGTCATATGGCCTGCCTCTTCAAGCAGTTTGAAATGACGCAAACAATAGTCTAATTCTTTATCAAGATCGTTTGTTAAGCAAGCCGCTGAGTTATACAAGTTCGCTAACTCATTTGTATCAGTAGGAGGTGAATCATTAAGTCTATTTTCAATCCATTCTAAACGATTTTGATCAGTGTTCGATCCTTTCGATAATCTTTCCACAGGATTCACAAAACTTTGAAAGACTGATAGAGTCTGTCTAGAAGTAATTGTATCTTCATCCACTAAGTCTGTCCAGCGTTCAAATAATATTTGTAGTGCATCATCAAATTGATGAATATGAAGCATAAGTTGAACAAATTTGAGCATATTTTCATGGCTAACAATGACATGAGAATGCTCAAGTGATTTTGTTCTTGCTTGATCGAGTATTGCGGAAACTTCTTGATTTTCTAGAACTTTCTGACGAGTATAAATTCCGAGTTGTCGAAGTTGTTGGTCATTGTCTACCGTCCTTTTTAATTGTATATTCCAAACACCATCATCGAATTGTTTCATTTTTCCAATTCGAAATACAGAAGGTACTGAGAATAAGATTTCGCTTTCTCTCATAGAACTCAAATGATTGATAGAAGCATATGGAACAAACGTTTTTATCGAAGTATCAATATCGATTTCAAAGATCATACTTACGAGAGAGACATGATTCTGATCAATGCTCGATGCAAAACTTCTTGCCACATCTTCTGAAGAAGTTGTCGAAAGAAAACTATTGAAGGCGATGAGACCACCAATATTACGTTTCATTCGTTCAAAGTTCACTTTTGGCACGCTAAAAACAAATTCTGTATAAATACATTTTATAGTGATATTTAAACATCTATAATATATCTTCTGTACTAAGATCAGAGAAATACTTCAACTCACATCTGACAGCGATATAGTTTTGCCACAGAAACGGGACTAGAGATTTGTTCGCGTATAAGTGCTTCGTGAAGATCTTTGACGAAGAAACATAATTTCCATATATTCAAACATTTTAATTCTCGCAAACTTGAATTGAGTAATCTAAATAGAAATGTATCTCGAGGATACCACCAAATAGGAGAATGTTTATTGTAATCTTGACGACATTCATCAATAACTTTTAAACTAGCCGGATTATTACGACAGTATTCAGTACAATAATCAATAAATTCGTCTTTGTCATCAGCATCATATTCGATTTCAACGATCAATTCTTTGAAGATTTGTAAATACATGAAATCAGGTTCTAATCGATTGAAGTCTACTTCCGAGGAATAATCAAGAATAGAAATACGTTCAAGGTTATATTCAGAAATTGTTATTTCTCGTTTTAATGTGTCAACGATCTTATTAACATCGTTGGACACAGTACAAACTTTAGAAAAATTCTTTTGAGAATCTGTATTTTTTAGTAGATCATCGTGAGAATAAATGCAGATTGAAATGATTTGTTGCAGTTCATGAAGCAACGGTAAAAGTATGTCACAAAATTCTTCTGATATAATAGCAATAATCTTTCCATTTTTTCCTACATCCGTAATAAAATTGATGAATGTATCAATATTTATAAATATTTCTACAGATTGAATTGTTTGTTCAAGTTCTGAAATGAATCTTGTCTGATTGAAATGTTCGTCTACATCTTTGTGATTAAACCATACGATCATTATATCCTCGAAACTTTGCTTATTTCTTCTGGATTGATCATCTACCGTCTTGAACATTATCTTCGTGTACTAATGTTTAATTCCAACGTGTTAGGTATTCAGTCACACTTAAAACAAGAAGACTACTTATCTCAAGAGAAAAAAATTGGTTTAGATCAGTTGAAAATCAAAAGTAATCTTTTTTAAAATCACTTCCTTTGATTCATGAATGCGTATAATATCGCGAAATAGGATGATTGCTTTGATTATCTTTTGTACCACTTTTTTCAAGCGTAACACACAACTAATAATCACATCGGAAATTGACAAATCTGACCACTCACGTGAGAATTTAATTGTGTCGACTTTACTGGCGAAATCTTAAATGTGGGCATATGTGCTATTACTTTTTTGCTTTATCGAACTAAACATTCGTGAATATGGCACATCGACTCTCTCTCTACTAATTTAGTAGCAGTGGTAGACACAGGAATAGAAACCGTTTTTATTGTGCAGTTACCTGATAAAATACTTGATGCTATACTGTTTTCATCGCTTGAAATAAAAATGAAAATTCAATCATATAAAAACAAAAAAACAGAATAACACGTAAAATAAATGCAAAAATGTATGTTTTAATGCTTCCCAATCCACTGTTTTTTTTCAGCAATGGCAGAATTCCTACATTTCAGACATTCTACAGAATTCTATAGAATTCTACATTTTCCCTATGAATTCTACAACAACTCATTCACAGCTGAAACATGATAAGTCCGAGTTATTCTCAAAA